TAAAAACCAAAACACAATTCAAAGAGATTTAAAAATAGATCTTTGAACAAAATCCTGAGTGGTGCATATAGCTTGGGTAAGTGCAAAATGCAGGGATCAATGCTGGGTAGCTGAGCTTGGGTGCGGCAGGAGTTTAGGGGAAAAATCCTACCTCTTAGGCTGTGGCATGCTCCATGGATGCTTTGCTAGCTCAAAGGCTGAAATAGGACTCTGCACCCCTAATGTACCTTCCCCACATGTGGAGGAGGGCCAGGGCATTGAGGCAATGGCACATCCTCTAGCCCAGTGGTCTCCAACCATTTTATGCACAAGATCACTTTGAATTTAAGATCAACCCAGGATCTACCCTGCCTCTTCCCTGAGGACTCCCCCACTCACTCCATTCTCCCCTCCCTCTGTCGCTCACTCTTCCCAACCCGCACTCACTCTCTCCAGGCTGGGGCAGGCGGTTGGGATGTGGGGTGGTGGTGTAGAGTCTGGGGTGGGGCTGAGGGGTTTGGAGTGTGAGAGGGGGCTCCGGGCTGAGCCTGGGGCAGGGGGTTGGGGTGCAGGAGTGTGGGGTGCAGGCTCTGAGATGGAGTTTGGTGCAGGAGGGGGCTCCAGGCTGGGGCAGGGGGTTGAGAGCTGCGGGGATGGGGTGGGGGCAGCATGCAGAGCTGCCTCCCCCAAGGGCCGCAGAGACTTGCCAGCCACTTCTGCGAGTAGCATGGGGCAGTAGCAGGCAACCTGTCTGAGTCCCGCTGCGCTGCTGGACTTGTAGCGGCCCAGAGATTGCGATTAACTGGCAGAGGCTCCAGGATCAACCAGTCAATCATGATTGATGGGTTGATGACCACTGTTCTATCCCTTTCTACCCCCTATGCACTGTCCTAATGACAGCCACATTCAGCAATAATACCATTAACTCCTCCCAGCTTTCCTTAGTTCCTTGTATACTGGAACTGGACCTTTATCAATACCAAAAGGACCCTGGACCAACTTTATGCATCTGAAAATATTAGGTGAAATCCTGGTCCCATTGAAGTCAATGGGAGTTTTGCCACTGAATTAAATGGACTAGAATTCTACCCCGCTCATAGTATGAAAAGAAGAGTAAGAGTCTGATCCAAAGCCCATTCAAGTCAATAAGAGTCTTTTTATTGGCTTCAATGGTGTTTGGAGCAGGCCTAGTATCAATAATTCCTCTTCTATCCTGTATTGAGAGCATAATGTTATTGATTTGTAAATTTAACAATCTTTTGGTAACATTAAACCCCCACCAGGGACCAGGATTTCACCTAATAATGTAAAATCTATTTCTGAGTTTTAAAGGTCAGTGCTAACAAACAGTAAATGTTCTGTTTCAGAGGAACAGCCGTGTTAGTCTGTATTCGCAAAAAGAAAAGGAGTACTTGTGGCACCTTAGAGACTAACCAATTTATTTGAGCATGAGCTTTCGTGAGCTACAGCTCACTTCATCAGATGTATACCGTGGAAACTGCAGCAGTACTCCTTTTCTTTTTAGTAAATGTTCTATCACAATAACCAGAAATGGGCCAGGTGGCACATGATAGAAATGGCTCCTTCTGAAAGGGTAATAATGCAAATTAACCAATTGGAAGAGGAGTTCTCAACCTGGGCCTCATGGTTCTGAGCAGGTATAATGGGGAGGCGTGGCCCAGCTGTGGGGTGAGGGTAGAGGGGTGTCTTGGTTGGGGAAAAAGGAGGCCCTAGTGGGGAAATGGCTGAGAATCACTGGAGTAGAGCAACATAGAAAATGCGTCTGGACCTACAGCCAAACTGTGTGTCAGAAAGGCATGATTTTAACTTTAGATCAGGATCACAATGAGGTAAATAACCAGAATATTGGAGGTGCTGGAGGGCTTGTTTCTACATGGAAAATAAAGCGACATATCAGTGTGCATGTGGTGGTTTTTTGTTTTTTTTGCTGTGGCACATAGGAGGAAGGAAGTGTTTCTCTCCCTCTCCCCCCAAAAAACTTTTTTCTTGTGGTGTTTGTGTTTGGCAATATATACAGCAGTATAGATTTATTAAAATACTATCATCTGGTATGGGATCAATATTAAGATATGGGAGGAGGAGAATTTCTGAAGGCTAGTTCTTTTGAGCAAGAAGGAATACAACTGATCTGTTCGTTCTGACATTGCAAAGGGTTTTCAGGCCCATATAACGCTCTCAGTTCCTGCCCTGCCTTGGTAGCCTCCGCTCTGTCTAAACAGGAAATGAGAACCTGTGTCTGTGGAGGAGCCCCCACAGCCTCTGAGTTTAAACAGGCAGTTTTGCTGTGTCTTCATCCATACGTGAAATATGCAACACAACGTATCCTGAAGCTTTGATGACTAATTGTAGTTAGCTGGGTGTGATTACATAGTCTGGTAGATTGTAATAAAATGGATGCTTAAGCAGCGGTAGGGAAGTCCTTATCGGAGGCCTGATCTGAAGCTCATTGAAGTCTATGGGAGTCTTGTTCTACCCCCCAGAGCTTGCTAACTTGGCTGGGGTGAGGGGGAAGGCGCTGGGAGGTAGGCGGAGGAGCGGGGATGTGGGGCGCTCGGGGGAGGTGTGAGGGGAGCTAGGCTGCTGGTGGGTGCAAAGCATCCACTAATTTTTTACCTGTATGTGCTCCAGCCCCAGAGCACCCACAGAGTCGGCACCTGTGGTAACAGGCTATGGGCATTCAGCCTATTTACCCTGCTGGGGAAGGTAATCTTTTTAGAAGTCCCCTTCAGTGCTTAGTGTGATTGTCTAAAATAACTCTCTGGACAGCAAAACTCTTCCTCATTGCAGAGACTTAAAATGCATAGCTGCATTTCCAACCTCAAAGGCCCTGCACGATCATGAGCGTTCCTTTGACCAAGGAACCTGGATGCATCTTCCACAAATATCTGTCAGCTCCCAAAATGGCCTCAGAAATAGCTGAAGAGATGCTCCCATCTCACAGGGGCTAAAGAGGCTGTTTTCTCAGCACCCCATCTTGTGCTAGCCTAATCTGGTAACAAAGGACTAATCCCATCTATGGTGACCCATTGATTGTTGGACTTGGAGGACTGTAATACAATATTTCTTTAAATAACACTTTGTATTATTTTTACATAGGATACTTACACACACACAAATATCAAATCACTTCTACATCTACACTCACCTAGAAAAGGAAAGTTGATAGTTAATCTACTTACTTATTTATCTCTACTTAGAATGTAAACTCTTTGGGGGAGCAATGGTCTCTTTATTCTATGCCTGTACAACACCTAGCATGATGGGGTCCCAGTGCCTGAGGGGTGCTCCTAAGGTGTTACTTTAACAGTACTACACCACCACAACCTCCTTTAAGCAACGAAAACCAGCTAGCTGTTCAATAATAGCGATGTAGCATTAAGGTAAAGACAGACTCAAGTATGTCCAGCACCAGAGCTGTGGTGGTGCCTGTCTATATTAAAGGACTAGAGAAGTAAAACAAAGCAGGAATTGCCATACTGGGTAATAGCAGGGGTCCATCTAACCCACTGTCCTGTCTCAAACAATGGACAGTATCCAGTGCTTTGGAGGAAGGTGCAGGACACTTTACCTATATGGAAATATCTTCTTACCCTCTGTCTGAGGTAGCAATAGCAGTACAGAGAACAAAGGGAGCTCACTGCTGATTGATCACCTGTCCAATGAAACCTTCACCGGTAACGAGAAGGGTGCTGCGTCACATGTGTATACTTCCTTAGGAAGTATGCAGAGCTGGGAATGGACACCATGTTGACACCACGGAGGGAGGGATAGCTCAGTGGTTTGAGCATTGGCCTGCTAAACCCAGGGTTGTGAGTTCAATCCTTGAGGGGGACCATTTAGGGATCGGGGCAAAAATTGGGGATTGGTCCTGCTTTGAGCAGGGGGTTGGACTAGATGACCTCCTGAGGTCCCTTCCAACCCTGAAATTCTATGATATGCAGGTGTCTGTTCCGGTTACTTTGAAACTTCGCCACTTCCAAAAGAGAACTGATCCAATGGTCCCCTCTGGTGTTAATTTTCCAGTACTGCAGCTTCATATCTAGAACAACATTTGGACAGGACAGAGGCTCCACACAATAGTCTTTGCTGGGTAAACCACCAAAAGATGGAGTATTGAAAATCTCCGCTTTAAAAAAGCCCAAACATATTTTAAAGTTAATGCTCATAAAAATAAGAGACTCTGGCTTCAATCAGGAACAGATACTCTACCACCTTCTCTCCAGTTCCTTTATAGTCCTTTTATCAAATCACCTAGTTGGGTGGAGTCTTTCAGTCTTAATCTCATTACATTTTGGAGAGGCAAGTATGAAATAGTGGACTGAGCATGAGCTGGGGGCCAGGAGCTCCTGAATCCTAATCCTAGCTTTGCCACCAGTTTGACAGGGGGCTTAGTGCACCCTCCTGTAGCTCTAGGGTCTAGCTCCCAATCTGTGAAATGAGGATACTGGCCCACCACCACTTTACCTGAAAGGAAAGATGTTGAGTCTTTTCAACATGGGTAAATATCTGTAAGGGCGAAGCTACTGATGTTTCTTTTTAAACAGGAGGGATTAGATAGGTCCACGAAGAAAGGAAGGTATGAATGTCGTAACTACTACTTGCATTAAGAACTTGCCTTGTTTCCTGTTGATCCATCCGGGTACCTATGTGGTCCTCATTGCCACAGTACACAAACACTTTCCTTTACTTAAAATGTTTGTGTTTCTCTCTCCCTTCCCCGCCACCAAGAGGCGGGGTGGGGAAGGGGGTGGTCTTTAATTTGAGAGAGAGCCAGGGCAAAGAGGTGGGTTTTACATTTGGCTCTGAATCCATTCTTATTTCTTGTGGCAATGAGTTCCATAATGGAGAAAGACCTCCGTCTATTCTTACTTTATGAATAATCATCCTTCAAACTCTATAGCGTGCGTCTTCAAAACCTAGAGTACTCTTTCAAAGCCTATGATTTTTGAAAGAACTTCCAAGTAGAAAAGGTCAGTCAATTAATAGGCAAACTCAACAGATACAAAGTGACTTTTTTTTATTCCAGTAGAACTGAAGGTTCTTTTTTTTTTTTTTTTAAGCCGTTTATTTTTTTCTTCCAGTGAGTCAAGATGTACCCTTACAACAAGCATCTTTCTGCTCTAGCATCTGGTCATTTTCATAAACAAAGCATGTCAGGTATCCAGAAAATAAGGACATCTTCTTTGATTTCTGCTCGTTGGGCTCTTGTGAAGCTAAGATGGCTGCCATCCTTCAGTTATCACAGTACTGTACCTTTAGAATAGACAGCATCAGCACTGTGATAACTGAGCCAGGGCAGCCTGTCAGTCATTATGTCTGTTAGTATCTCATAGAGAATAGTGCTTGCTTTATTGTGTGCTTACATAGTGTTTCCTCTTGTGCATGTTTCAAAAATAAAGATCACATAAAATACTAATGTTCGTTCTTTGAGGACATGGATGATGGACTTAATGCATGTTTAATAAATACACGTGGAAATGAACAAAGTGTTCTGAAACTTCAGTTAATTTATCCACTCTTTGAAAATTACCTGGTTAACTGGTATCACTGCACTTAAATTCAAAGCAGCTTTAAAGTATTTTTCAGAGTTGCACAATCCAAGTCTACAGAACACAGTATTTAACTGGGGAAGGGGAGAAATAATTTACTCGTTCCATGGAGATAATCACTGATGGAATGAGGGTATTTTTCCCTCTCATTATTTTTTTTCGGTTTCAATCAGCATTTGAAGTAGAGTGCTGTTCCCTCACATAAACTACATAGGCAAGATCCTCAACTGGTATAATTGGCATAGTTCCACTTAAGACAATGAAGCTGCACAAATTTAACCTGGACCCATTATCAAATAGTTTTGTTAATTATGTGGATATAATATCTTTGAAACTTAAGTATTATGTTCCACACTGAAAGTGCTAGGACCTTGACACACACAAAAAAGACAAGGTTTCTGTCTTGTGGGATTCACAGTACCACCTCAGGCCTCCATTCAGCAAACACTTACAGATGTGCTAAAGTTCCAACAGGTATGTTTGCAGCACTGGGGTCCTTTGAGGCCCAATCCTACTCCCTTTGAAGTTTTGCCATTGATTTCAGTGGGAGCAGGATCAAATCCAAAATAGTAACAAGCTCTGGATGTGGAAATGATCCTGGAGTTTGAAGAAAAGAGTTGCTGTCTGATGGACTTGTTTGTTCAGGCTGTGTGATGGCTGATTTGGGCCATACACTGAGGTCTAAATGAAAACTGCTGAAATCAAGAATTACACTGCAAACAATGACAGAAGTTTATCAAAATATTTTCTCTGGTTCATGTTTGAAGTACTGCTTAAAAAGTCATGGTAGTTTTTCCCTTTGAATAAAGGCATCTAATCTAGTGAATCAGTTCTGTAATGATCAGCATATTAAAATAAATGTTTCATCAGGTTTCACAATGTAAAGAAATAGATAAATATATTTTACATTTCACATAATGTTCCATTTAAGAATTTGATGGACTTAATTGGTGTAAGTGGTACTTAAATATTTCTGATAGGGTAGAGCAAGAACTTTATGGATAACATAATAAATAACCAACTAAACTGATATGTATTTCCTTAAGTTAAATAAAATGCTTTTAAAATTCAGAAATGCTTAACATTCAACTGGGCCCAAGTACTACCAAAATGGTCTCTTACATATTTTTAACACAAGAGGGCAATACAGAGACAAATGTTAAAAACAGCTTCCTGGGAAAAATATTTGTGCATTTTTAAAACAAATTACAAAAATGTTACATAAACAAGGGACCAGTCAATATGTTATACAATATTGTTCCAGGAGGTAAATATGAATGGGCAAATATGTACAAAAATGTTAGGATATATATTTGCCATCAACTGCAAATTTATCAGCATCCTTAGAATAATCTGCCATTTTCTGAAAATAGTAACCGTAAGGTAACCTAGGAGCACACATTTATTAAGGATTTATATAAAAAATAAGTATTTCCTGGCTTTCAAATATGTTAAAAATAAGATCAATATAAAGGTACAAAAACGTCATTAGATCATTCTATTAGCATCACAAGGGCTGGACACTCTGGATGTATTTACAGTTTGCTGACGATAAGGTGATATATTTACTCTGCTGTCTCACTTTTTAACACTCACCTTCTTTTCTAGAATAAAAAGAAAGCTTTCCTCAGTAGTCAGGTAACATAGATCCTGATCCTGAAAACATTCAGGAGTAGTCCCTCTGATCTCAATGTGGTACACATGAATTTACTCAAGTGCATTTTTCGGTGTGTATTTTTGTTCAGCTTATTTCTAAAGCATTGCAAGTACTTTAACTTGATGTTAAATTTTTCAATTCCATGTTCTATTTTTTGCTGTCAGATTTTGCTTTTGAAAAAAATTCTATTCACATTGTTTTTATTTTGCTTGTCCGTCCCGTCCCCCCCATTTCCACTACTCTCTTCTTTTGGGGTCAGTAACTTACCACGTTTCTTGAGCGTTCTGAATTAAACAACACTCCTTTTGATTAGAGTCTAAAAACTAAATTGGCTATTTACCCTCTCCTGATGAATTCAACTTTTCTTTCTTTTCTCCTACCACGTAGCTTGGAATTATAGCTCTGATTTTTACAGGCCAACTCTGACACTGAATATGAAGAGGTGTGTGTCTTATCCAAAGCTAGGAAAAATGGGGGGAAAAACACCTTTATTACAAATATTTTACACTGTGTGTGTGTGTGTGATCTTAAGAACAGAAAACGGCAGTTACAGGGATATAATTAATCTTTTGGCTACTGAGTAGGTGACTTTCCTCCTTATGAAAGTTACTGGAATTTTAATATGGCAGGAGGTCCTGCCTACAGTGCAGTTTACAGCACCTAGAAGTGAAAGACTCTAGTGTGCCAGGACAGTTATTAAAGCAATATTTTCTATGGCTTTAAATTCTTCTTTATTAGTTTTTAAAGATTTGCTTCTTCACTTGTAAGTGAGGTAGGAGACAGGTACGTTCAACAATATGAGACTCTCCCGTCAATGAAACTTCAGTAATGGGGAATTGTTTATAAAATCGTCTCCATTCTTTTTCTACATTCTGCTTGATTCCTTCCACCAATACTTACCTTTTAGTCTTTTCAACTCCTTTCCCCTCTTAAACTTCTATTAGCGGCTGAGTTAACAGTCTGATAGATGAATTCTAACTGCTGCTGTTGGTGCACAAAATGTATGAATAATTAAATAAATAAATCTCAAACATTATTAATCATTCATCAGCTACAGTCTATGGGCAAGTATTCAGTCACTTTTCTGGAAACAAGAGCTCCTAGAGGCCCCTTCCTGAAAAATACATGAAAATATTCAAACAAATTTAACACCAGTAACCTGCCTGGGTCCCCCAGTATTCTCTTTCTCATAACCCCACCAGCACAGCTCTAGATGGACCAACATCTCCCACGGAAGGGGAGCTCAATATGGGGGGGGGGCACGGCACAGGAGAAGGGATGCTCTTTGTTTTCAGCTCAGGCTGCACTGAAAACATCTGCTAATAATCACAGAAGCTGACATGGCTGGAACTAGGGCTATGGACTTGGCCCTTGTCACTTATTAGCCAACAGGGGAAAAATGTCCCAATGCTTTGTTAAAAAATAACTTCCTAGGTCAGGAAACAAGGTGGTGATCTAGGATCTGGCCCTGTACCTGCCCCAGTTGTCCAGCTGAACTTGCCCTGCCAAGCCCTCTCTTTGCAATAAATAAGTAAATACCCTGCTATGTAAGTGAAAGGTAGAGGGAACTGAAGGTGTGGCTCCACAGGGGGGGAGGTGGGTGGGCAGGAGCAGAGAATCATAGAATATCAGGGTTGGAAGGGACCTCAGGAGGTCATCTAGTCCAACCCCCTGCTCAAAGCAGGACCAATCCCCAGTTTTTGCCCCAGATCTCTAAATGGCCCCCTCAAGGATTGAACTCACAACCCTGGGTTTAGCAGGCCAATGCTCAAACCACTGAGCTATCCCTCCCCCCTAATAGAGAATAGGAAAAGCCCCTCTGGCGTTCTCCCTTGCTGATCTCAGCCAGCGAGGAAGTGCCAATGCCCGCGGCTGTGGGAACAAAAGCACCATCAGACAAGTTTTTGCGGCTTGTCTGGGAGGGGAGGGAGCACCGCCGTCCTGCAGCCATAGCTTGGTACCCAGCTCCCCAGGCCTGCTGAGGGGAAGCTCTGCCCGGCCAGGGCCGGGGGAGTGAATCTGAAAGTGACAAGCGCACGTACCAGGCACCTTCCAGGCTGCTTGAGTGAGACTCCAGCCCCGCCTTGGCTCCTCCTTCCCCTTTGGGAAGCTCACCCCAGCGAGCCGTGGAGACTCCTCCATCTTCCTCCTCCTCCTCCCAGGCTCCTCCTGCTGGATGCTTCATGTAAACAAGATCCAGGCTATATTTACAAGCGCTTGACGGAAAGGAACCAGTGCCAGGATCCTGAAGGAAAATAACAGTGCGCAACATTAAAAACCGCGCGCACACACACAGATATCCCGAAAGGCCAGGGGCTGGGAGACCTACAGGGCTTCAACCCTGCTCCCCATCAGCATGCAAAACAACCCCGCAAAGGCAATCGGACAGCGGTGCGCCGGCACCCCACCCTTCCTCCATAACCGTCCCCACCGAAATGAGCCCCCCGGGCCGCGGAGCGGCTGCCAGCCTGCGAGGCAGAGCCGGAGACAACGCACCCAGCTGTTGGGAGCAGCACAACGCGTGCGAGGAAAAACGAGCCTGGCTCGAGGCAGCTGCCTGCGATCCAGGGAGAGCGCTGTGAAGAAAACACACATTCCCAACCCAGACTCCTCTTCCCCTCTCACCCGCCCGCAGCAAGATAACGCCTGCCTTTCCCCCATCCCGATCGCACCCGCAAAAAACAGGCCCCCTCCCCCCGAACATAAACAAACCTCTGGCTTGCGTTTCCAGCGCTGCCTAAAGGTGAATTACGAGAGGACAGCACAGGACGTGTGATGCCAAGATTGCAACGCCCTGCAATACACTCCCCCACCCATCCCTGAACTGCAAAAGGGTGCGCTTGCTCCCGATCGCAGCCCGTGCACCCCCTATTCCCTGCCCTCTGCTCACCCAGCTTTGCGGCCGGGGCTCCTTTCCGCTCTTCTCTTTGTTCTAAGCGATCTTTGCATGAAGATTATCTAATGACGCAGCACAGACTCGCCACAACGTGACTGTCGCCATTTTTCTGTTTTTATTATATCTCTCTGCCATGTGATTTAAAAAAAAAAAAAACTTCCGGGTCTCATGACCAGAAAAGAGCAAAACAAAAACGGAGACAAGACACAACTTCACACACACACACACACATATGCAAGTGTCTCGTCTCTCCGTGTATCCAGCGATGCGTCCCAACTGTCAGAGTGACAAGCAACCAGAGGGCACCCCTTCTTGCATTGTGGGATTTAACCGTCTGGTAGAGAAAGTCACCCCTCACTCACATTCTGCCCCAGATTTACAATCAGGAGACCAGAAGCAGTTAAGATGAGACCAGACCCTGTTCTGCTTGATCAAATGCCTCCAATGTCCACGCCGCTTTCTGCTGAGCTATACCAACTTTGAGCTCTGTTCATTCGTCATAATAATAAAAAAAGTTGAGATGTTAAAGCATTTTTAATCATTCTTAAAATGACTTGTCTGCTCCATGTTGATATGAAAGATTTGGACCTGTGAAACCTGTTTTCTCCCTGAATTGATCCTCTTCACACACACACCCACGGGTTTGTTATGTTGGGTTATTTATAAGTTGCTGGCAGAAGTTGATATGACAGGAAAAAAGGTTAAAGCATTTAAAAAAATAGTTTCACATGTGAAGCATTATGCAGACTGCAAATGGCTGTAAGAGCAAAGGTAGATAAAACTGTAGGTCTACCAACCAGCCATGACAGTATCCCACGCGGACATTTACAAAATAGAAACAATGGGCAACACCATGTTGTCTTTTGTCTGGCAAATCTCCCATTGAAGTCAAGAAACCACATTACTAAAAAACCTGTTAGGTCTTTTACTAACACCACCTTAGATTAGTAAAACCAGGAGTTATAAGAGTGGGGAGGAGCAGGACCAACCCTCAAGCAAACGGCACCCCCCATTTGTTAAACTTTTGAACACTTTATTTTTATTGCATTTGTAGCTCATTTCACGACTTTGATGCATGATCTGCATGCATGATTTATCCCTGTCATATAAGATGATACATTTGCACGCTAGAACCTGTATTTATTCATGCATATATAAGCAAATAAGAATAATTTCCTCTAAGCATATAGAAACTTTTTAATTTTAAGAATAACTGAAATGTACTAACATCAAGAAATTGAACTGTGCACCAACACTGCGTGGACCCGTATTACCTAGTGTTACAGTAAGTGACAACCTTAGAATGTTAACCTTAAGTCCTTTAGTTCAAAAGGTCACTTTTCTTGCCTTTGCCCTCCCGAATTGAAGCACAGCATCAGAGAGATCCAAAGACTGGCCAATGGCATTTTCAAGCAATAAAATAGCAAGCGATGTCAGTCTCTTGTCGGCCATCGTCGATCAAAGATATGTCTTAATGAGCCTGAGCTTCGAAAAACTGCGCTCACCACTTGCGACTGTGATTGGCAGCATCAATTCTTCAAAGCTTTCCAGGAATTAGGAAAAGTGTCCTTCAGCTCTGCATCATGAAATAATTGGAGAACTTGGAGTGGAAAGTGTTTCCTGTGTTGCAAAATGTGCTGGATGTTGTCCATTTTGACATAGAGGTCTTTATCATTGACGTCTGAATGTTCCCCTTGAGACAGTGTCAGGTGAAGGTCTGTACAATTGTTCTAGAGTGTTTTCCTGTCAGCTGGCAGCTTACTAAGGTCATACAAAACCCCCAGGTCTTTTTGTGGTGCTTCATTTGTCCTAATATTTCTTTGATGGACACTCAAACAGTGTCAACCAGCGAGCAAAAAAGTTCCCCCTTGAATTTTTCTTCAAAGCTTCCCATCACCTCATCTCTGCCCTCATAACCAAACTGTTGCTTCTTCCAATGAATACGAGTTTTCTTGAAGACCGGCTCAACTCCTAAGTTTTCCACCATTTCTTTGGCAGCATCTTCAAATCCGTTGTCTCTGTAGGCCACAACAAAATCAAGCAGCTTCTCATCAAAGCAGTAGCAACCGCAATGTCCATTGACTGAGTTTGTAATGCCTTACTTACAATATTTACTTGGAACAGGATATCATGCCAAACCATAACTGAGACCAGACATTTGAAGCCAGTGATCTGGTTTGCCAGGCTTTGCAGTCGGATTCCAGCCTCGGCTTTACTTACTCAGCAGTACCAGTTCCATCAGGGTGTCATAAACCTCAGTCACTTGGTACCTCACTGTCCTTACGCTGTCAATGCGGCTCTCCCAGCTAGTGCCCCTTAATGGCTTCACTGTCAGATGTGTAACATTGTCTGTGAGGATCTTCCATGTTCCACCTGATAGTTGATGCTGAAAACAGGATATACATCCTTTGCAGTACTCCAAAGAGAGATACTGAATCTAAAGAAGATGACACGGCATCTGACACAACCACATTGAGGGAACGGCAGCCACAAGGCACGAAGAAAGCACTTGGATTCAGCGCAAGAATCCTTGCCTGGACATCACTGTTGTCGTAGCCTTGGCCATGGCAGTCCCAAAGGTTTATTTTATTCTCATTCAAAACATTCATAAACAGTTCTGTTAGGCTTTTTCCAGTAGAGTCACCCACAGATCGGAAACAGATGAAGTGTTCCTTTACTTGGATACAGCCATCCTCGTTGTCAACAAATCTTACTGTCAATGACATCTTTTCACTGGGACTTATGTCGGTTAGTGCAGTCCATTATTATGGCATAGTACTTCACTTTGCGAAGCTGCGTCAATATGTTATCAAGCACCTTCCTTGACATAAGGTCAATCAATTTGTTTTGAATTGTTCTGCTACAGTAATGGTCCATTTAGCTTCTTTACAAACTACTCAGCATAGGTGCTCACGCAAGACACTGTCGTATTAACCAAGGAAATGACTGTTCTGTTCAGTGAACAACTTATCCGTCAAACCCTGGAAAGCCAAATTATTCTTTGCAAGGAAGAGGGTAATTCAGATCAGATGCTCGTGCACATCCTCCAATGCTAGGTTGCTACATTAATAATGCCCTGGTTTTCTGCGTCTATGCATTTATTCATCTTGAGTCTGGACTCAAGATCCATCCATTCAGAGTAGGACATAAAATGGCCACGTAACTTTTCATGTTGCTTCAGAGCATCCGCTAAGTTATGCCAGTGTAACCCTTCTGCCAGGCCAAGTTGATAGCAGCAAGGGCCGGGTTCAGTACACAGGGGTTCCTTCTCATCAAAGCAAATGCAAAACTGGCTCGAGCCCCCACCCAGTGACCTGAGAAAATCTTACACACCCCTGGGCGCCTCAAAGAGGCAATACTTCCCCTCTCGCAAGCACAGAGTCTCGGTATAGTAGAGAATCTTTAATAACATGAGGTAAACAACATCAGCATTAAATTGGGGAAACACCACAACTAGTGTTCATTAACCAAACCATGAGCAAAGACACACCCCAGAAAATTGAGCCACATCCTTTCCCTCGGGTTCTTGAGTCCCAGAACCCAAACATCTCTTGAGTCCAGCAATCCACAAATCACCCAAAGTCCAAAAAGTCCAGCCCCAGAGTTCAAAAGTTCATCGGCAGAGTGTTACTCCCCAGTCTGGCTAAAATGTGCCTGTGTGTGGGGGAAAGAGGTAAGGGGCACCTTATGTGTCCTGAAGCTGACTGCCCCACAGGGCTCTGCTCCGCTCCGCTGTCTCACGAACGGCTCTGCTCCACCATGACTGGCTCCGCTCTGCACAGCTCACCATCTCATGAACACACCGCTGTCTCTCGAACGGCTCCGCTCTACCACGACTGGCTCTGCTCAGCTCGCCGTCTCACGAACACACCGCTGTCTCATGAACAGCTCCGCTCCACCACGACCAGCTCCGCTCTGCACAGCTCGCCGTCTCACGAACAGCTCTGCTCACCTCGCCGTCTCACGAACACGCTGACAGCCTATCCACGAACAGCACCGCTGCATTCTAGATCTTCCGGCTCCCCACGACTTGACACAGTGCTCAGTGATTTCAGCTCATAGTAGTGGGAGCCTTAGTGCTGGTGCACCATAAGGCCAAAGTGAATGCAGCACAGTACCTGTAGCAAGACTCTTAATGGACCCAAAATTAGCTCTGACATTCCACAGTGGAGAGAGACAGAGGTGCAATTGGTGCTTCAGGCCCTCACAAAGGGGCCCACACCACCAGGTACTAATACCTGTCTCAAGTCTCTCTCAATTCACAGTTTTGGAACCCATGTCCCTTGCCTAGCGAGTGCTACTTAGTTGATGACGAGTCCCTCCATCATAACAAAAGGCCAAGTACAGTTCCAAGCACAGTTCCCATAATCAGGGTAATAACAATTTATTCTTCCCGCCCCAATAACAGAGACACTGGGGATCTCACAACAGCCAAAGTGACCATTTGGGCAGTTATGGCCTCATTCTAGGCAGGGTGGGTGTGCCTATGCAAATGAGATCAGCCCCTGAAGTTCTTTTCCACAACTTGCGACACCTCACCACCAGATGTCAGGGTGGAGCCCATCCTGACTCTGCTTACACCAGTAATTGTACTCGGAAAGCGCAAGCAACAATTTGGCATTCTTGTGAAATATTTTACAACAAAACCCGAACACTTTGTCAGTTGATTTTGAGTAAACTAGCCAATGCCAATTTAGTTTCTCACTATTCTTGCATACTCTTTTGCAGTATGACCTTGAGAAGAGTCAAGGGAAACATCTGCTCATTTACGGGAAACAACATATCCTTGATTTTGCCTGGCCCATTCAAAATTGTATGATCAATATCAGCAGAGTTTAGGATCGCTGGCCATAAAGTGGGATCTGATGTATAGATCTGTGGTGTGCAATTTTTGTCACTGCTGTTTCTGTCATCATGCGAGACTGATTCTTCTTGCTCATTTCTCTTCCCTTCACGTAAACCAGATTTTTTTGTCATCACTCTCCTTTTCATGGGAGCCACATTCTTCTCTATTATCACTCTCCTTCACACCACCAGGAAAACTGGACGATTCTCCATCACTTTCTCCTCACATTTCCATTCCTTATCTTCAGGTAAATCTGCTAATTCCTTAGTAATAGGATTTCCATCATTTATGCTTTGCTCCTCTATTTCTTCTGCACTGGGATGATTGCTACTGTCCTAAAGCCCAGTCTGTGTTGTTCTGTTCCAGATATTTCCCCATCAAATGTGCCCTTTGCTGCAAACTAGACTGCAACTGAGCTTTTTGCTTCCTATACTGGGCTCCTAAAAGCTTCTTCAGAGGCATCTTTTATTTTCTACGGGGGAAAACAGACAGTATTAGGGAAAAGTGTATGTTCCACAGTCTTAGAAAGTCATCAAACATTACGTGTTAAGCATGGCAAAAGAAATAACAGTATTTCTTTTATATTGTTGAGTAGACAGGGATTTGATAGATATCTCTGGCATCTCATTAAGTATGTCCTTTATTAGTTGCTACTTACACTCTTCAAGGCTTAAAACACAAATACACTTTCACAGTTACACAATTAAAACAAGGTTCACAATACTGCAGCTGTGCTCTCACTTCTTCTGATACCTTGCTGGCGAAGCCCCGCTACTTATATACCTACAAGGGCATGGCTGACAATATTCTAAGAGGTTCAAGGAAAACGTAGTTCTCAGAAAGTCGGGAAGGTTCTACGAGATGCTGCGAAGGTCCAGAACATTCTAGGAGGTAAGTGAAAAATGAATCCATATATGGAATACCTGAAACATTTTTACTTCAAACATTCTATCAACAACAAAAACACCACTCCAAGGCTGGCACCCCAGGTGGTCTCCTGCCCCTAGATTCGGCCCGGGGGAGGAGGCAGGGAGAACACAGCTCCCCCTTTTCTGCTAAAAGCCAAGAGCTCCCCCTCCTTTATTTCTAGTCAGTGAGAGATCACTCCTCCCTTTCAATTTACTTTAACCACTGATTCAAAATTGAAAATGTTAAATATCTGATTGACTTCTCACCTTTTATGTTATTTATTAGCTTGGATAGACACCTTTTTGGCTCTCATGTACAAGCACAATGTTCTTTGAGTTTCCATCCATTGAATGAAAGGTTAAACTTTAATAAACCTGTTTTGCAGTTATTAATTTGCTAAAAATCATGCAATATTAAATTCATTGGAAGATTTTCAAAACTTTAGACAAAATCTTAAAATTGTGACCAAAATTACTTGATTGAGTCGGTTAACATTTGAGACTTACCCTCCTACAGCAGATGCTAATTCATGACAGCAAAGCCATTATTACTCATCCGAAGGCATCAGATGCACTAAGAAACACGGTTAGTAGCCAGTGGAGGAAAGCATAAACCAGCATTCAGAGGGGCAAGGGGATTGAACTAGCTATGTAAAACCCTCATGGCAAAGTCATGTTTCCAATTCCATGGAAACCTGTTCATCCCAACATAATAGGGGGCTAAGTGATGGGGGGAATATAAAGCTGTTAACCATGGGCATGTCTGCATTCCTTTCTCATTCCATTAGGGGACCTGCTACCACCAACATTTTCATGACACCATTTGAAAAACCGGTAGTTTCCCCAGTATACGCTGTATTAATTGTTCTTGGGGACAGCCACTTTTATAAGGCAAATAAACAAAACACCCTACTAGGATCCCTACCAGATTTTATCTGTGCTGTTCAACCCAAACTATTGTTAGACATTGTGTACTGGCAAAAAAAGGACCTGCAGGAAATGCTTTATCATAATATACATACGTAATCATTTCACAACAGCATGCCACCTGGAATCTACCTTTCCCACTGTGAAAGGCATGAGTTTAGCGCTCCTGTGTGGTCAGACAGAATTCTGGGTAAGGCAGAATTCTATGCTCACATAGGAATACAAAGGAGACAGGAATGAACATTTTCCTATGTATAACTATGATGACATCCCTTACTTAAACTTCCTAGAAGCCTGCTTGAGTTACCCCCTAAAGCCAGCCTTGCTTTAGTTGGCTGCCCCTGGGTGTGAAGGAAGAGATGCTTCTTGTTTTCTTTAGTAAAGGAGGAAAGCAATGCAGTGCACTCTCTTGATAAAGCCAAGCATTTTTATTCCTATGCATGCTGGGAATTGACAACAGAATTAAATAGAGCTGAAGCCAGAATGCAGGAGCTCTGTACTATTGTGTTTCCTTGTGTGATGAACTTTATATATACTTTCTTGCTTTGGACTCTAGTCACAAGTAGCTGAAAGAAGAAAATGAGACTCCTTTCTGAGGAGTAGGCACCAGCTAAGGACAATTAATCCTTTACTGCTTCTGCTTCATTTAGTCTGGACTCTTGGTTTGTCCCACAGACCAGAACATCTCCTTTTCCTAATCTTTGCCATGAAATCTCACACTGGACCTTGTCAGCTATGGGTGAATAGCTTTTATTATTCCGCATCTTGTTAGCATTCAGTGCTATTGTAGTGCTTTCTGTATCTCTCATCACCTAGCAATAGAGGGGAGCTTTTAAATAAAGAGACCACACAGGTCAAGGATTCAGCAGTTTGTAGATTTCAATACTTTCTGCTCCCTCTGGAGATGGGCTCTTGGTGGGTAGATAGGAGCTTTAGGCTGGGCATCTCACCGGCTCCAACTATGTGCCCTGGGAGATGGGCTCATTGCAAGCATGGGGATTTCAGGCCCATATCACTTTTCCATTTGTAGGCCTCCAAGCACTTTACAAAGGTGAGTAAGTATTAATTTCCCATTTACAAATGGGAAAACTAAGGCCCCAGGTCACAGAGCAAGTCCATGACAAAGCTAGGGATAGAAGCCAGATCCCATGATTCCCAAAAAGGAGGGGACACTGGGAGAGCTAGGGAGATATAAACATTTTCACTCTCGTGTTAGGATTTATCCACACTTTGAACAATAGTAGTAGTTAATTCATTAGAACTCAGACACTATTTCCCTGATTCATTGAGCCTGCAAAATAAATCCCCATTAATACATATTAAAATCAAAAGCTGCATGTGCAGCATTATTTGTACAGGTAAGTGGCTTGACCTCCATGCAGAAAGTAGACCAGACATGCCACCTAAGCATTGACCAGTGCACTATGGGACAGTAGTGGGAAGACTATTTGTGCTCTTGGGATTATTACACTAATGATTCCTGTCTTCAGTGGCACTGTAATGGTGGAGATTGGCAGAGTGAAGAACCACATGATGGTTAGCCTGGCTTGAAGGAAATCTACTACCGATATTTATAACACTTGCACAATGTTGGGATCGCTTCTGTGTGTGAACATGAAGCATGTTACCAGATATTGCAGCATTATGCTAGTGCATCTGTCCTAAATATAAAGGGAAGGATAACCACCTTTCTGTATACATTGCTATAAAATCCCTCCTGGCCAGAGGCAACATCCTGTTACCTGTAAAGGGTTAAGAAGCTCAGCTAACCTGGCTGGCACCTGACCCAAAGGAGCAAAAAGGGGACAAGATACTTTCAAATCTTGGGGGGGGGGGTGGGTGAAGGCTTTTGTTGGTGCTCTTTGTTTACGTGGTTATTCTCTCTTGGGACTGAGAGAGGCCAGACAGAAATCCGTCTTCTCCAACGCATCCTAATCCAAGTCTCTAGTATTGCAACCAGTATAGGTAAGCCAAGCAAGGCGGATTAGTTTATCTTTTGTTTTATGTGAATTTTCCCTGTGTTAAGAGGGAGGTTTATTCCTGTTTTCTGTAACTTTAAGGTTTTGCCCTGAGTTTGTGTTTTGAATCTGAATACCCTGTAAAGTATTTTCCATCCTGATTTTACAGAGATGATTTTTACCTTTCTTTTTTTTTTTTTTTAATAAAATCCTTCTTTAAAGAACCTGACTGATTTTTCCATTGTTCCAAGATCCAGGGGTTTGGGTCTTTGATGATTTTGTAACAAATTGTTTAGGATATTATTCTCAAGCCTCCCCAGGAAAGGGGGTGTGTAGGGCTTGGGGGGATATTTTTGGGGAAGATGTCTCCAAGTGGTCTCTTTCCCTGTTCTTTGTTTAAAATGCTTGGTGGTGGTAGCATACTGTTTAAGGACAAGGCAAAGTTTGTACCTTGGGGAAGTTTTTAACCTAAACTGGTAAGAATAAGCTTAGGGAGTCTTTCATGCGGATCCCCACATCTGTACCCGAGAGCTCAGAGTGGGGAAAGAACCCTGACAGCATCAAACCAGAAAGTCACCTGACTAGTCGGTTTTCATTGTCCAGGCAGAAGGAGGAATCAACAAGCAGCAAAGGTGGGAAAGGTGATATTTAAAAATATCCTTCCATTTTAATTATACAGTTATTAGTAACACTAGTAAGATATTTGCTTTTAAAAAAGTGTAATTTTGGATCTTGTCAGTTTCCTTTTATAAACAATTCAAAACAAGGGAGGCTCCCAACTGAATGAGACTTGGCAAGTCTGCTACATTATAAATATTTTGTGTGTGCACACATTCTACACACACAATAACCGTAGTCTGCAAAATCATTTTTATAACAGCTATTTTCATAATAACCCATACGGTAACATGCTGTTCCAGTGCAACATATCTACTAGCTTTCAGTGATGAAGTATGTGAATGAATCCTCTCTTTCGAGTTCTGTACTTTAAGAGACATCCCCTAATTCGGTGCCTAATGTCTCATGCCCTGGAGTTGCTAAAAAGCATTTCATTGAGAAAAAAAATTATGTTTTGAAAGACTAACCATGAAAATTACACACTGTAAGGCAAATGAATGATTTTGGGCCACTTACACAACATTATGGGAGTAGTACCCTTTAAAAATTGCTTTTAAATGTAGGTTCCCCCCACCCCAGACTCCTCCTCTGAGTTTCTATGGGTTAATGACTACCCCAGGGGTACCCAATTAAGAGTTATTAAATAGCCAGCAGGTTTAAAACAAAGGTAAGAAAGTATTTCTTCACACAACCCATAATCAACCTGTGCAACTCATTGCCAGGAGATGGTGTGAAGGGCAAAAGTGAGTTAAAAAAAGAAATAGGTAAATTTGTGGAGGGCAGGTCCATCAGTGGTTATTAGCCAAGATCGTCAAGATGTAAACCTCATGCTCCGGTATCCCAAAGCCTCTGAGGGTCAGAAGCTGGGATTGGACATCAGGGGATGGGGGTCAGTCAGTAAATTGCCCTGTTTTCTTCATTCCCTTTGAAGCATCTGGCACTGGCCACTGTCAGAAGACAGGACAGATGGACCATTATTGGTCTGATCCAGCATGGCTGTTCTTATGGTCTTAAGTGTTGCCCCTAGACCAGTGGTTCTCAAACTTTTGTACTGGTGACCCCTTTCACAGAGCAAGCCTCTGAGTGTGACACCTGCCCCCCAATTAAAAACACTTTTAAATATATTTAGCACCATTATAAATGCCAAAGGCAAAGTGGGGTTTATGGGGGAGGCTCACAGCTCCTGACCCTCCCCTCCCCATGTAATAACCTCACGACCCCCTGAGGGGTCCCAACCCCCCGCTGGAGAGCCCCTGCCCTGGACCCAAGACATTCCTAGAGGGAGCTGGGAGGGAAGCCGGCTGGCTGGTGTGGTCGGCTGGGATTTGTAGTCCTTGTGGGCGGTTCAGTTTGCTGGTGGGCGTGGGAGAGACGCACCAATAGGACTACAGATCCCATTGCGCCGGGCCCTCCGGGGGCGGGGCTGGGTTTGTGACAGCTCGCCACTGGCCGTCTTCTTCCCTGCCGCTGTGCGGGCCGGGGCCGGCGAGTGCGAGCGCTCGGAGCTAGCTAGCGCGCGCGGCTGCTCCCGCTCCCGCGGCTGGGGCTTGCCTTTGCAAAGGGGCGCCGCTGCCACGCTCTCCCTTAAAGGCACAGGCGGGGGCGAGGCGAGGCGAGGCGGAGCGGCAGCCTGCTGTGTGCTATGCTGGGTCAGTCGTAGCGTGTCAACCCCTCGCACATTTTTTAAACGCCATATTGCAGGAGTTTCCCCCCCTTTCCTCCCCCGCCCCCAATCCCTTTAAAAATTAGAGAGTTGAGTTTCCCTCCCGGAGAAGGTGGCTCTTTGGAAGTGCCGTGGGTGCAATCCGGGTAGGGGGTGGGTGGGAAGGAGGATGCCCCCCCCTCCCCTTGCAAGTGGCACCGACGTCGGTGGGGGTCCCTAAGGAGCCCCAGGAACTCAGTTACTCGGCGGCTTGGAGGCTACAGCCCGCAGGGGAGAATTGCCCACGTGTAAAGAACCCCCCCCCGCGCGATTTGCAGGCGCCTCCGCTGTAACTTCGGGGTCGCTGGGTGGAGATGTAGCAGGGCCTGGCGCTGGCGGGGTCCGGCGGTCTCTGCCCCAGCCCGCTCTGATCGGGAGGGGCTGCTCCTGCCCAGGCCACTGCTCGGTAACTTTGCTGGGGTCGCTGTCGCTCCGCAGGGATCAGCGGGGAGCTGTGAGCGGCGGCGATGGCTTCCAAGCTCCTGCGGGCCGTCGTGCTGGGCCCCCCCGGCTCTGGCAAAGGGACCGTGTGCCAGAGAATTGCCGAGAGCTTCGGGCTCCAGCACCTTTCCAGCGGGCACTTCTTGCGGGAGAACATCAGGGCAAAGAGCGGTAAGTGGGGGTGGGGGGGGGGGAAGAGTGCCCAGCTGTGGAGGATCTGCTCACCCAGAAGCGCCTACATGTTTCCTTGCATGCAGGAGGCGCCCTGTGTTGTAGACCAACCGGGCTGGCGAAGCGCTAGGCGAAATGGCTCGGGGATCCATCGGGGCAGATGATCCTAAACGCTGTTTGTCCCGAGAGGGGAATTGTGCCATGAAATCGGGCCCTTTGCAAAATGATCTCGCCGCTGGCTAGCAACCGTCGCTCAAGGAGCCAGTCGACAGGCTTGTGTGTGTTGCTCAGTGTATTGCATAACCCGCTTTTACAGTGTAATCGGGGGTGAAGAGAAGCAGCACCTTCCAACAGATTCTTTACATTTTTGTTATGTTGTAATTCAGTCTTTGTCCACTGATGTGGTGCGTAATGAGGCTGACCAGTCTTTAGAGAGGTTGGCGTCCTTATGGATCTCGTTTTTAGAAAAAACAAAACAAAACAAAAAACCCTACAGAAGCAGTAGCGTTCTTGGTTAATGAAAACGGCAACAAGTTATCCGAAACAGGAGACAATTGTGCTTCTCTGCACGATTTGCAATACACAGGGGTTAAGTTCACTCACTGTTTTCTACTGCTGTAGTAGGTTTTTTCCTGTGTGCAGTTTAAAGGGATGGTTTTCTTATCAGAGTTATTAATATCAATGAATACAATTAAAACTTTTTAAATGTACTATTCACCTTGTATGCTGCTTGTTTGTTTTTTTCATTGTGTGAAAAATTGTAACTCCCTGGTTTTCTTGTCTAAATCCACACAGTTAACTTTTCAGAGAAAACTATTTAAAAAAAATTTACAGTGAGGAGTGAGGGCAACACCACCCCCCCAAAAAATAGGTTGTTTGTCATGAGGTGCCAAAACTCCCTTTCTTCTTTCATACATAGTAATTGAGGTTCAGAAGAAGCCTGTATAAATAATTAGTGTGTGCCCATTCATCCACCGGTAGCTGTGGTTTTGGGGAAATATTGCACACTTAACTTTGAGTAAAAATATTACAAAATGGTAAATGGCTTCTGGTGTAAATATGTGTGCATGCTGTGAATTTGTGATACCCTAACTATTGTGTATCTTCAATTCATAATTCATTGTGAAAAATAGCTCCCTACTTATGTAGTGTTACAAATATCTCAGTGGGGTTGTCTGCTTAGTTTTAAATGCTAAAGCTTTAAATCTCATCCCCTCTACAGGCACATATGGCTCGAAAGGCAGTGGAACCAGTTTCAGAGTAACAGCCGTGTTAGTCTGTATTCACAAAAAGAAAAGGAGGACTTGTGGCACCTTAGAGACTAACCAATTTATTTGAGCATGAGCTTTCGTGAGCTACAGCTCACTTCGAAGTTATTCTAATTCTGGGTAAGGCAGAATTCTATGCTCTATTCTATGAAGTGAGCTGTAGCTCACGAAAGCTCATGCTCAAATAAATTGGTTAGTCTCTAAGGTGCCACAAGTCCTCCTTTTCTTTTAGTGGAACCAGTGCAGTTCTGCTGCATGTGGGCAGGTTATGGCACATCTGTGCTGTGAAGTGTACTGTACTGTGGAGCTGTGCTGTAGGGGGGCTCCATCTGTGGCAGCAGAGACTTCTCTCTGGTTCTTTTTTCAGGGTGGAGGGTGGTGCCGGGGCACGGCCATGGGCCTGTCCGCTTATCTCCTGTGTAGTGTAGTGAGTTAGGTCATACTAACAGAAAAGTCTGCAGTGACACATGGGCTGCAGGGCAACTAGAGGCATGGGAAAAGATCTTGACAGTCCCATGCCCCTCATAGTTCTCCCAGCTCTGGGTAGGGGAAATAATTTGGGCTTCTTAGAGCTAGGCATTATGAAACTGGCTCAAACTTGGTTGCTTCTGGAAATATTTTTATTTTTTCTAAAATAAAAACTTGTGCCATTTCTTCCTCTAACATATAAATGGTAAATTGGCATTGTAACTTAGAAACGAAAATATTCACTTTAGGAATTTAAGCCTTTTATACGCCAAGTTTCATCTCGGAGCCAGTGTTTATGGCCAAGTTATAAACTCGTCAGAAACAGGCTTTGTAATGAAAAGACTAACAGAGCCAGCGGTTGAATTTCAGTGGTATCTGTTTGGGGGAGTTCATTCCCCCTCATTAACAGAGCATTGGCGTGTGCTCCATATGCAAGCTAGGGTCTAGCCTTGTCTACTTATCACCCTGGTATAGAATTTCAGTGAGGATCCCAGAATCTATTTCCTTTGTGTATTAATATTAGCTATTCACTTTCAGGTGTGAAGGTGGGTAGTTATGTAAATACCACCTGAATTAGCAAATAGCAGTCTCTTATTCCCTCTGTCTTCTTTCTCTTGTCTCTCTTCTCTAGGGCTAGACCTACACTAGAAGAAGTTTTCTGGTACCTGTGCAAGCAAACCCTCCTAGCATTAACACTGCTTATACTGGCAAAAATACTTTTACTGATTATAGCTTAGTTGTACCGGTTTCCTGAGCATAATTATCTATACTGGCACAAGCATCTTTATGCCGCTATAATTTGCCTCTGCACCAGGGCTTCGGTGGTATAGAAATGTTACAGAAAACACAGCAGACCTAACCAACATTGATATACTAGCAAAAGTTGCTACTGTAGGCCTTGCCTAGATCTCAGTATTTTTCCTCTTATGGTAAACTGTTCACATCCCTTTTCCACGTCTCCTTATTTTTGCCTATCTTTCCCTCTACCACCTTATTCTTCCCCACTTCCCATTTTGAGTTTCTGTTCCTTCTTCAGTCCAGTCTCGTTTCCTTCTTCCTTTGTCGCACTCCTTCCCTTTCAATGTGAGTTTCTTCTCCTCCCTCAAGAGGTTCACACTGGAGTTCCTGCACAACAGCACAGACCATGTGGTGCCCAGGAACAGTTTGGAATGGATAAGTGTGCAGCAGTTCTTGTTGGGTTTCAACCTGGAACTGCTGGCCTCACTGGAGATGTAATTCTGTGCAGGAGCAGAGGTGTGAGTTTCCTCTGAAGTATTCTTACTGAGGTAACTAAAAATTAGAGGGACAGGAAGATGTGGAATGCCTGCAGTTTCCATGTCCAGTTTACATTCCTGAGAGCTTTGACTTTATTGGCATTAGAAGAGGTCTTGTGCTAGTTGTAATTTAAATGGATGCAGTCAACTTAGGCATTTTATATGCTAAGACTGCTGCCTGTTACACTAATTTGTATTGTCTTACTGTTTCCTTGTACTTCCCTGGCCCGTTGCATCCATGTGTTGTGTTATAAGTAGACCGAGTCTAATCTCTTTGGAGCATGGCCAGCGTTTTGGTTCTGTGTTTTGTACAGCCCCTAGCACAGTGGGGCCCTGGTCCATAGCTGGTGCTGTGACAATACAACTAACTTTAAGAAGTGAATTGAAAAATATCTTACACTGGCCCCCAAATTCTCTGTTGACTTTTATGGTTAGGCAATCAGTTCTCTTTTTCCCCAAAATGCTGTTTTCTCCTCTGTTACACTGAAAGTCCTACACAGAGAGGAAACTGACTCACTGTACGGGGGAACAGTGAAACCGAATATACACAACCATTAATTGCACAAAATAAACTGAAACAGAGAAATGTTTTGCCCCTCATCTTTCAATTCTTTTGTAACAAAAGTAGATATAACATTCAGACAGCAGTGTGAACTTTTTTCAGTTGAGTATTTTTTTTAATATGTGACCTACAGGCAGTGCTGTAGTCGTTAGATAATATGTGCTGTCCCTTACATTGATGGGGGGATTAATTCCTTAAGTTGGAGAAATACTCACATAGTTGGATTGTCATCAAAGTATTATTTTAAAGATGGCTAGATTTCAAAACCAGGAAAATCCAGGTCAGATAAACCTATTGTTGCAACACTAAGGGAGGGTGTGTGTGAGGGGAACTCCAAATGCGTGAGGGTAGGGAGGAAAGAGTAAAGGGGGAGATTTTAAAAATTATGAATCACTAATGGCTTGTCCACTTGACGGGGTGAGTGTTCAGCAAGCCAGGATGTGACTCAGTGTGCCATCTTGCTGTGTGCTAACTGGCCATGTGGACCCTGCTGCCACATACTAAAAGTTCCATAACTCAAAAGTTCTGTGGAACTCTTAGTGCGCATAGTAGGGTCTGCGTGGTCTGTTAGTGTGCGGAATTCTGGCATGCTGTAGGTTCACAGTCGAGCTTGCTGTGCAGATAAACCCTAATGCACAAGGAGTCGTGGCCTGTGATAAACAAGAGGCCTACCTACATGATCTAATTGTTCCTTCTAGTCTTAAACTCTATGAAGAAATACAATTTGCCTATAGTTGGGCCTTTTAAGGCCACATTCTTAATAACTTTAGTCCAGCAAAGCCAAATTGTCTATTTTTAAAGTTTAATTGCATTTTTTTTAAAAAGGATGCGTGCAAACAAACCCCTTCTGTGGAGGCTTACAAAAAGGGGTGGGACAATACTACAGCAAACAAAAAGCACTGCTGCTCTATGCATTACTAGTTCAATGGGACTACTCATTTGCATAAATCTTGGCAGGATTGGGGCCTAAAGTATTAGCCTTTCCTGAATTCTATTTCAGTTCTCACCTTTTCCTTTACAAGTATACCATGTGCTAGCTAAAGCTAGCCCTACAGTAAACTAGTCCGAACTTGGCCCTGTGTATTCCCATTCTGAATCTATATTATGCACTACTTGGTTCACGTTTTAGGTGGTGACAATCTTTCTTGCTTCTAAGAAACCTTTCAATGTTATGCTCCAATAGGAATTTTAATCCAAGGATCTCCTACAAATACTATGCAGTGCAGGTAAGGTGCATATAAAATTGATGGTTCCACCTACTGTTGAAATGCAGCCACTTCTGGGTGTCAAGCAGCAGCTGTTGAAAAGTTCATGACAGTATACAGTTCAGGAAATGAAGACTAATACAACAGCCAGGGGCAGCTTGACCAGCACACTGGAGATGGCACTCCTGTTTTTACCCAAAGTACCGTGATTATATTTTACTTC